CCCCCCCCCCCCCCCCCCCCTTCCTCACCTTCATCTTTTTTGTCTCAGTGCAGTGAACATTTTACTTGAAAATCCATTTACATTCGATTAATTCTCTTCATTCAGATCGGGCAGCCAGGAGGCTCTGGGGATACAGGGCCAAAGGGATATGAGGTAAGGGAACGAAAAGATGATTGTGAAAATAAAATCCTCGGTTTATCATTGGAATGTTTTTAAAAATGGCATAGTTTGTTTCTCCGAGTTCCATAGCGGTGCAGAAAAATTCGGGCAATGAATTAAACCGAAATTGGTTGGCATTAATTTGCCACTGAGATTATGATGAAGCGATTGAATTTGAGGTCGCAAGTCTTTACTGTACTTAACCTAGAATTTCACTTTGTGTTGTGAGGAACACGATTTGATGGGTACAAGCGAAAATATCATCGTCAAACACCTGTGCTGTTATCAGTTCGCTTTTCGGTTTGTTGGTTTTTTTCGTAATTTTTTTTTTTTTTGGTTTTGATGTTGTTGTTTCGTTGTTGGTGGTCGTCGTTTAGTTTGTCTCTTTGTTTGTTTGTTTGTTTGGTGATCTGTCCAAGCTGAGCTCCTACCAATGGAATGCAGTTATTTTAAACAGAAAAGTAAGCAATAAGCTAAGAAAGTGAGTTTCGAAGGGTGGTGTGGTAATTTCCTTTCCAATATTTTTCAGGGGGCGTTCGGTTTTGCCGGAATAACAGGAAGTCCCGGAGATGATGGACGTCAGGTATGTTAAAGACGCAGCCTATATTACTTTAAGCTTTTCACTCCTAAGATCGCAATATGAATTCTCCTTATTGTCTTTAATATATATCCTCGTATGATATTTTTGAGAATTGGGGTTAAATCAAACAATACCTCTGAACTATTTTGCTTCTTAATTCTCATCGCTTGCTTACGCTATCCATTTACAACAACAATTCAGTAGGCATATTTTTCTCTATGCGTTTCCTAAGATGCTCACAAGGAGAATTTGCATAAAAAATAAAGAGCTTCGTGACATCTCGATCATTTTCTTTATTCTCGTAACCTTAATGTTTGTTTCAGGAGTGATGCTTTTAGAAGAAATATGATGCATATTTCTCTTAGAAGTTAACAAGATATAGAAGAAAAAAGGGGAAGGAGTTCTCATGTGTGGGTTCAAACCATTAGCTATAAAATCTCTACTCGCTTTTGTTTTTTTCAGGGATTTCAAGGCCCCTTAGGTCCTTTTGGGGAGCCTGGCCCGGATGGTCCAGATGTGAGTGATATGGATTAGTACTCAGTCTTCTTTTTCTGCGCGGATAGACTTGGACTAATTAATAATCAGATTATGAGCTCTAGATTTCTATTACGAGATGGTAGACAAGGGCGAAGCATAAAAGGAACCTGTTAGCTCTGCTAATATGCAAACTTTTTTATTCTTTTCCAAGGGACCTGCGGGCCCAAAGGGAAGACCCGGACCTGAAGGATATAGAGGACGAAGGGTGAGTACAATTTTGAATTGTTTTTATGTGTGCTATTGTTTAAAAGCAACAAAAAAATTCACCTTCTTCCTATTGTGCTTCTGAAACATTCCATGGAAGTGACTACAACGATAATTGCTCGACTGCATGGGCAAGTCATCGAATACAATCCCCGTTTTGCATTTTCGTTGTTGTTATTTTTTTTTACTATCCAGTACAAGGGGCTCCCCCAAATCTAATATGCCCCTTGAAGGCTTATTACTGTCATGAGATTGTTTACGGTTTACATAAGAAAATATTTCGCAGGGACCAATGGGTGATCCTGGACCATTAGGCAATCCTGGTCCTGTTGGATCTAAGGGCCGAGAAGGACGAACTGGAATCGCTGGACAGCAGGGACAGGATGGTGAACTGGTAGGTAAAATTTGTCAACAAATTACGTGGTTGACACAGTGTTAGAGAGATAATTAATTTTTTATCTCAGCAGTGGAGAAAAGGACAAAAACTGATTCATTTGTCTTAATTGTGAGACAACGAAAAAACTCCTGAATGTCCGATTCAGATAGAATCCGAACCTTACACCTTTGGATTACCCGGTTCGAGAATTGAATGAATGAAATAAGCTTTATATTTGACAGATGTTGAAATTTATTATTTGTGATATTACTGTAGGGTGATACCGGTGACGTTGGCAAACCAGGACCTGACGGATCAGTGGTAAGTTCAAATGAATGCTCACATGATCATGTCTGATCACGCCCAAATACCTCCGAGAACGCTCAGAAAACTTTCAAACACGTTTTTTAGATGTCTGACAACTCTTTCTCGGTGTTCTCCGATCGATCATTAAAAAAACCCTTAACTTTGTTTGTCATAAGTACTTTTGGCAGTCGAGACTTAAATAGCAGAAATTTTTTTAGTCATGCGTAAGAAACGGAGATGAAATAAGGTCGATCATTACCATGTGAATCGCGGCTATTATGTGAGCGCTAGCTAATTTAGCAGTCACCAGTTTAAGAGAAGTGAATCTGCTGGGGCTCAACGACGAACGTGTGCCTCCTCTAAGTTTTATGGTCACATAATATATACAAAAAAAGTAATGTTGTGTCAAAATTTATATATTTTTACGTGAGATACCTCGTAGTTTCCTCTTAATTCTTAGTAAACTAATCCCTTCTAGCAATCTTGCAATCTATTATAAACTTTGTGTCAAGGAAAATAGTTATTAAATACTCAGTGGTTTTGCATGTTTTTATTTCTGAAATTGTTCCCTGGAAAACGTGCAAAATAGTATTCGCGAATTCCCCTGCAAATATAAATTTATCGTTGGGTGTGGGGGATGGCTCTCCTCGCCTATACGGCGTTCGAATAACGTTCTTTAACATGCGTATTCCACGAAAATGCACTCTATGCCCGACGCCTGAAGAGCTAAACATTACTAAGTTTAAGTTTTTTATATCTTTGTTGATCTAGGGTATGAATGGATTAAGCGGAGTGAGCGGACGGCCCGGTTACCCAGGCCCTTCAGTAAGAACGCTATAACTACTTCTTTTTATGTCAGTTTTTTTGTGTCAAAATTAATACCGGATTGCTTCAGTTTTGGTTTACCTCGGTCTGCGATTGGTCCAAAAAATGGCGCCAGCTCCTCAACCAAATAGCTGCAGAAGTGGAACCAATCACAAACTGGTTAATCGCGTATTCCTGTGCCTCAGGCAGTTTGCTTGACTTTGCTTTAAGTTCTCATTGGCTGCTTATGATATTTTTCTTCGTTGTGATTGGCTGTTGAGATTACTTTGATTCGGGATTTCCTACACTCAATTGAAAATTTCTCTCTCATTGTCAAGCAGTAAGCATTTTTATTGATCAATTGCTTGGTGAATTCTGGTCAGTAACGTGCGGTTGACTTTCCCGCCGAAATCAAATTAAGTCAGCTCTGGTGCGAAAAGATAATATGACACCATTCGCTAATATGATTGGCTATCAGCTGGCAAATGTAGACACTAAGAGGAAAATGCTTTCGTCATGCGTGTAACAATACGTCATCCGACAAGGTATGAGTTCATAGTCTCGAACACTTTCGTTAAACTTTCATCCGATTATTTATTTTATTATTTATTATTTATTTTTATTTATTTTTTATTAACTACCTATTATTTTATTTCTTCAGGGTTTCGAGGGAAAAGAAGGACCTGCTGGTGCACCTGGAACTCAGGTATGTTAATGTTTGTTATCATAGTAATAAAGTTCACACTAAGTATACTTGCCGAGTGCAAATATTAAGTTTCTCCCATTTGTCCCTTGGATTTAGTAAATAAAGAGACCAGTATGCCCGCCTGTGGTTGAAAACCTACGATATTAATAACAAAAACTGATACAGGGTATCAAATTAAAGTATATTGGGAATAAGGCATAAGGCTACACAGTCCAAACAAATACCAAGATTTTACGGAGGGGGTAAGGATTTCACAAGGGTTTTACTAGGGACGGGCAATAAGGTGGCAATGATCGTAGGTGCAAGCTGGGGGCTTTGTAAAGCGGAGAAAATCAAAAGAAGCTCATTTATACTTTTTATAAAACGTGAAGCGTTCTTTGAGGATGATTGGAGTATTAAAATATTTTTTTTTTTACGAGTAAGGAACTTTAAATCTATGTGCCCTTGTTTTAAAACTTACCAGGGCTTTAAAGGAGGTCCCGGCAGCCCAGGAGCGCCGGGTGATCCAGGAATCAAAGGAAGCCCAGGACAGGGAGGTGACACAGGCCTCATGGGCGATACCGGACCCACAGGTGAAAGCGGATCTGGTGGACTGCCGGGAACTGACGGAGTGACGGGTTCTCGCGGGTCGGTTGGTAAACAAGGGGAATTTGGAGGCCCGGTAAGCATGTCATCGCAAAAATGATCCAGTTTTGTGTATACTGACATGAGTCAGATTCAGTTTAGTGTAAAACTCCTACATTTGTAGAAACCTTTAAGTTTTTGACATTAATCTGTCATTATTGCAATTTTTCTGTTTGTTTGTGTATTACTTTTGTGGCTTTATTGAGGTTTCGTGTTGGGGTACTTTCAGGGCGATCCTGGACCAGCAGGACCTACGGGAGGAGAGGGACGTTCAGGAGAAACCGTTAGTACAAGTTTATAACGTGGAACGAATACTGTTCACCTTTTAAACCTTAACACCCAACATCAGTGTAGATATTCTCGATACTGTGCTCTATACAGGACCCAAGGTGTTGACAGGGAGAATTGGTTTAAAATTTAATGATTTCCTTTATTCTCGTAACCTTAATGTTTGATTCAGGGGTAATATTGTGCGAAGAAATTAGATGCTAGTCACTCTCAGGGGGTCAAAGGGTTGCATGCCAACCAGAGGAATTATTTCTCACAATGAATTGATAGAACCGTGTCTCTATATGCAGCCGTTTCAAGTGTCAACATTTGTACGTCTACGCAGTCTTTCGATTACATTTGATTCATATGCACATGTATAATCTTATTTCCTGTTGATTTCTAGGGCATACCAGGGGATCTTGGATCAACAGGCGGCAAAGGAGCAAAGGTACTGTTGCGTAGTTTTGTAGAATTTGAACTGAAAACAAATTAAAAGCAACCCCTTCATGCAAACCTTTTTTCAAACGGATCGTGATAGTAGTTGCTATGGTTTTATCAATCAGACTATCTGTTTTTTGAGTAATGTGCCAGCCATTTACTTCTTTTTTTATGCATACTTGATCTTAAAATAGCGTTCATGCATTTTGGACATGTTTCCTTTTCAGGGTGAGCTCGGAAGACCAGGAAGCACGGGATCCACTGGTGATAAAGGACCAGCGGTAGGAATAGATTAATTGCCTATTTTGGAAGAAGCACTTTAGGCCAAGATATGTAGGACAAGGCAACGGTTATTTAAAGTTGTTCAACCTTGTGACACCTCAATACTTCCTTTCTGATCTTGTTCCTTTGGTCCCCTTGTCTTCTTACCGTTTTAGAAATTTGGGATTCGGGATTCGGGATTACGGGACATAGCTGTACTAAAACAATAGAGACATGCTGAAAAATTAGTTTTAAACATACAGCGTTTAACTCAAAGAATATGCATGTTCTTCTCATACGAAGTTGTCCTTTTAGGGTCTTGCGGGACCAAATGGTGCCCGAGGATTTCAAGGTTCGCCCGGTAAACAGGTAGGATGGCCTCACTGCTTATGACTTCCGTGCAGGTTTTTGATACGTCGCTTAATGTTATCGACAGCATTCCTTACTCTTACTGAGACGATCAGGATACTCGACTAACTGATGCTTCCGGTTTCAAATCGTTTACTTTACGATTCACGAAGTAAAGTTTATCTTGGTAGTGGCGTAATTTAGCTGCAGGAAGACTGAGCTTAATATCCTTCAAATATTTTGCCTACAGTAAACGACTTTACGGCGTGTGAAGTCATACGATAAATCGCGTGTGTGCTGGATGATGGATTGTTATTCGAAGTACACTAGTAAATAAAACGTCCAAAGTCTCATCTTGGATGTGTTTTTTATTTTTCAATTTTTTATTTCCAACAGGGTGGCCGTGGCGGAGCGGGCAGTCCCGGAAGAAATGGCGAAACCGGACAAAGAGTGGGTTAAATTGCTTTTACGCTTCAGATTCTTCCTCAAATAGAATTGCGATGTTTTTATCGCAATAAGGAACTTTTAGCAAAATGACTGGATTAAAGACAGACAGAAGCAGTTAATGCTGACGACGGCAAATATCACACTCTAACAAAGTTGTCTGCCTTTGCGTTTTCTGACAGGGAGTGCGGGGTAGTGAAGGAGATCCGGGTGTTATGGGTGCAATGGGAATAACGGTAGGAATAACTTTATACTCTTTTCATTTACTATGCCATAAAAGTTGGCATAATTAATGTTCCTTTTAATACATTATTTTTAAAACAAGCATCAGCCATGACATTGTGTTCAATATCGACGCCCATGAGGCTCTTCTACCTATAAGTTGATGATAACTTTAAGTTTGAGCCCTTAGAATATATTCAACTGTCGAGAGTAGTGAGAAAATACCCGTTTCACTCCCAGATTTAATACTCATTTGCATCATTACATATTGTAGGGAATGACTGGAGGACGTGGGGGACGAGGATCCAGAGGTGTTAAGGGAGATGGGGTGAGAAATTGTTTAACCACTTAATTTATCGCTTCTTATCGCACAGTCGTCCAAGGTTATCACGTGATGTTTTCACTTGTAGCACAAGTGTATCCTTGTGTTTTCAGTTTTTCTTCATTTCATTTCTATACATATTTCTGTTCCTTTAGGGTGCTTCAGGCTTACGCGGTCCACCAGGAATAACCGGATCAAGAGTAAGACTCAAATAACAATTGATCAGAAAATACACAGACGTAGTCGCATATTACCAAGAAACACACTGAAAATAATTGTACCTTGAAGAAATAATGATGTTGGAGACAGCTGCAGCTTCATTCGAATTTTCGCTTCACGGTACACGAGATGACGCTCAGTGAGCACATGATTTGAAAATGAACTGCAGTTAAAAACACTTCCTTTATAGGGGACTTTATTTTGACACAAAGTCAGCTAATGAACATCATCACGTGTGATTTTTGATTTGATAGGGTTCTGAGGGCAGACCAGGATCTAGTGGAGTTGCAGGCGCACCAGGAAGTTTGGTATGTTTTTAATATGTAAAGTACAAAGTGCCCTAGGAGGGCGGTATCTTATTACATATTTACAGTGCATTTTGCAAATATAATGTCACTAAATACCCTTTAATAATGATTGGCTCTTTTTAAAAAATATTTTAAATAATTTATTGATTGATTTGGATTTTGTTATAGGGCGCTAAAGGCGATGATGGTTTTCCAGGAGAGGACGGTGCACCGGTAAAGCCAAAAAAATGACCAAATTGTTGGAAAGTTATCCAAACTAAGTCTTCTTGATGACGTATTTATTGATTTATTTCACAGGGTTTTCCTGGTAAATCTGGAGGCGTTGGACTTGTTGGTATGAAAGGAGTTGAGGTAGGGTAGCGAGCTTCGTAGCACAATCTTCTCGATGAAAAAAAGACGACAATTCTTAAAACCTTAAATCTTGTTCTATGTGAAAGTCATTTCTTTCAGTAAGTTCTTTAATCACAGTCATCCAGTTTTGACTGAATTTGTGAAAACTACATCATTCAAGTAAGACTTATATTCGACGAAATGTGAGTCGGTTGTCCTTTGTACTAAGCGAGTGTTGTGTTGCCTGCCTTAGTAATGTCCGAGTTAAATGTTCATTTTCCTTATTCTTATTTTTGCTTTAAATCAAAGGGAATTGTTGGAAATGATGGAAGTCAAGGGGAACGAGGATCAACTGGACCAAAGGTATGGTCGATAAAGAAGGTTAAGCTAAGTTATTGAATAATCGCTGGGAGTTTTCTAAAAGTAAGGCACAGAGCTAAGATCGTCCTCGCCATTGTTATTGTCATTATCAGCGTCATCATCATTATAATCTTCGACTGTTGTCAATATTGTTCTAAAGATGCCATTTATCTCGTCTTGTTTGTCATGGAGCACGCTCTATTAAGCTCGCTAAAGTTATATTAGGATGCAGGTGAGGAGTCTGCATCGTCTATTTGCCTTCAGGTAAGGACCAGTGTCAGACATAACCTGGTTTATTACGTTAACAAGTTGAGAAGTTGTCTCGTAGACAAGCGTTCTGGATGATATAATGTGAACAGCTGGTTCCGCTGCCAGAGAAGCAGATATCGATACATCCTTATAACATTTTTTATTTTGTTTGATTTTTTTGTATTTCAATGATTTATTTAGGGTGAATCAGGTGCCCCAGGAGGTCAAGGTGCGGCAGGGGCACCAGGAACCATGGTAGGAAAATAAAAAACATAAATGACGTTTCCATGGCCACAAACGATTAGTACCGTGTCACTTGAGCAATAATTGTGTCCGTTGTTTGTCCCCCACAGGGTCTCCAAGGTCCTGCAGGGTCCCAGGGATCAACTGGGGACGTTGGTGATGAGGTAAGATTATCGAAATTTTATATCTTTCTTAATGTATGTATGGATTTTTGTTAATCAAAATTAAATGTCTCAACTCCTAGGGAGCTCCTGGTTCTGCCGGTGATGCGGGCTCAGCAGGATTCAGTGGCCGCCAGGTGAGCTAATGGATGAACGGTAAATGTGATGTGATGTGAGATTCCCGCTCGAAAAAAAAGTGTTATTTCAACATATTTCGCAGCTCTTTAACTTAAACAGCACGATACACTCATTGGCTGGGAGTATCCGGATTGGGTGGACAAATTTTCAAAGACAGAACACCTAAGATACATTAGGATAACTTCTGCGTTTTAATTAAACCTTTTTTCATGAAAGATTTCTTTTACACCTTTCAGGGGCCCAAAGGAAGCTCAGGTTCTAATGGAGTTTCTGGGAAAAGAGTGAGTACTATTTGAAAAATCAGATTTGTAACAAGTTTCTTTGCTCAAGATTTTGACCCACTTTTCATATTGGAGATTTCAACGTAATTTTTCGTAAACTTTGCCCCGTTTACTAGGGATAACCGGTCTTCTAACGTACTGGACTCAATCAAAAGACTCGACTGAGTTTAACTGTTTAATCGTTCTCGCGTATTCACTCAGTTACAGCAGGCGTGTAAAGAGCTACTCTGGCAACTTGAAACGAGATCCTAATTCTTATACTACATTCTCTACATTGTGATTGATCGTTGCTAAGCACTATGAAAAAGATTATTCGAGGTTACGTCAATCATGTACAAATTAGAAACTCCACGATAATGTTGTTGACAAAATTAACGTCACGCAAGTAATCAAGCAGTCTCCGACAAATTTTGATTCCTAAAAAAACAATGATTTCCGAACAGTATGATGATATTGTGCTCAAAGAATCCAACAGAAACGCGTACAATTATAATCCTGTGACCTGGGAAATATTTTCATCTCAACATGTGCATTGCTTGCGAAGCTAAACTGTCGTAATTTGTGTCTTTGATTGTTACTTTACAAGCAAAGTCTCATAAATGTGTGATTTATCCTTTTGTAGGGAAGAGCTGGTGAACCTGGCCTTAACGGAGTAAATGGAGATCCGGTAGGTTTTAAAATTCTTTTCTAAGAGGGACAAAACTTCAGGACCCTGTGTGGACCCCTGTGTTTTTGTGTGCGTGTGTGTTTTTGTTTTGTTTTGTTTTTTTTAACGTTTGCATAAATCCCTATCCGGTGAATAGCGCAGTACGTTTTGTCAACACTTATTCGTTTTGTATACCTTTACCCAGATCCACTTTTATCGTATTTTTGGCAGGTACATATGGGGTCAAGATAAATTCCTTTAAGTTTCTGTGTCAAAATCCAAGTTAAATATTTATGTTTTTGTAAGGTATTTGTTTTCGTGAAATCTCTAAGATCGTTGTCAAAAGATCCTGTCTAGTATTGCCAAATTCCGTGAGGGATTTAAAAGAAAGTCCCATCTAACATATGCTGCTTTTTAAACTTAAGTTTCTAATCTCAATGAATGATTCGAAAGTTAAATACCCTGACGGAGGACACGTACCAGAACGTTTTTTTGTTTACTTAATACAGGGCTTGCAAGGATTAGCTGGACTTCCGGGAGACGAAGGAGGCATGGGAGAACCTGTATGTAACGCTTTTATACGTGAGCTCTTGCAATCCTCGGATGTTGAGTTTCAATTTTTCTTTCAGTTTACCACAAATTTGTGATGAAGTTGCTTATAGCAATTTTGTGTTGAAGTAATAAATGTATTTTCTTTGCAATTTTTTTTTATTTTTCATTCCCCCCAACTCTTTGGTGGAAAGTTCCATGATCTTGTCAAGGAAAAGAAAATTCGTTGTTCAATCCTACGATAGAAAGTGGTCAAATCATAAATCTGTTATCGTTTCACTGCAATTGTCGGTAATTTGACGAAGAAGCAAAATAACTTGTAAAATAATTCAATGTATATATCAATATCATTGCGGGCACAGCTTAGGCAATGTGGACTAGGATATAACATATACATACATACATATATAT